ATATTTATCTCCCCCATTTCCAGATCATTCTGCCACTGGCCAGAGACAAAAATTAGATCTAGTGTATGTCCTCCCGTGTGAGTGGGGGCATGAACTAATTGGGTCAAGTCCATGGTCGTCATGGAGGCCAAGAACTCCCGAGCCGCCGCCGACATTTCACCCGCCGATGGCAGGTTGAGGTCCCCCATGACTATAAGTCATGAAATCACATTGTGTTGAAGCTGGAAATGAATGGAGCTTTAGTATCTTAGTATCTTCTCTTCACCAAATTTGGAGGAAAAATGCAAAATAAATAGCATCAGTATCAGTTTTTATTTGTGTGTTCTGAATTTTGATTCCCTCTCTTCCCACTGTTTTAATGACAGAGTATCATGTCCTCTACTATTGATGTTCAGATTATGTCATTGATAGTAAAAATGACATGGAAAAAAAATAATAATAAACAGCTGGGGGAATGACCGAAATAGCTCAGTGAAGAATACCCGTGCTTGTTACCTATACAAAGCTGAGGGATGTTTATGTGCATGTATGTATGTGATGGAGTGTTGTTAGACCCACAAAACTGAGGGAAGGAGTATATGGGATCACATAATAGAGTTTATATAAATTTCCTTTATCATTATTTGCCATAAGATAAACTATATTTTATATCAAGTATTAACTCAGTCTTGCGATACCATAGAATTCTTAAATAATACATTCAGGAAGTACAGATTGTTACTGTGATCATTAAACAAGGGGAAAGAGTATCCTGAATTTTTATTCCACAAAGAATAGGTTATGTCCAATGCCAATTCATGACTGATGATAGCTTTGACATACATATACAGTGTATCAATCTAGTAGAGTATAGAGACCAATTGACCTATGAAACATTCAGCAGGAAAAGGAGATAAGAATTTCAGAAGGAGAGCTAACAGAGTTAGAGATTAACAATCCATAAAAGAAGTATTACAATTAATTGTCTTCCAAAGTCAAATATTGAAGTCCTGATCCACCCTGCCAATGGAAGTTAATCACATGAGAGGGGGGGAAATAATAATAATAATAATAATAATAATAATAATAATAATAATAATAATAATAATAATAATAATAATAATAATAATAATAACAATAAAGTTGGAAGGGACCTTGGAGGTCATCTAGTCCAACCCCCTGCTCAGGCAGGAAACCCTATACCATTTCAGACAAATGGCTGTCCAGTCTCTTCTTAAAAACTTCCAGTGTCCACCACTTCTGGAGGCAGGTTGTTCCACTGGTTAATTGTTGTCAGGAAGTTTCTCCTTAGTTCTAGGTTGCTTCTCTCCTTGATTAGTTTCCATCCGTTGCTTCTTGTCCTGCCTTCAGGCGCTTTGGAAAATAGCTTGACTCCCTCTTCTTTTGTGGCAGCCCCTGAGATATTGGAACACTGCTATCATGTCCCCCCTCGTCCTTCTCTTCATTAAACTAGACATATCCAATTCCAGCAACCGTTCCTTATATGCTTTAGCCTCCAGTCCCCTAATCATCTTTGTTGCTCTTCTCTGTACTCTTTCTAGAGTCTCAACATCTTTTTTACATCGTAGTGACCAAAACTGGATACAGTATTCCAAGTGTGGCCTTACCAAGGCATTGTAAAGTGGTATTAATAAATCTGGTGAGGTGGTCCAAGCTGTGTGAAGCCCCACGCAGATATTTTGTAAGTGTATGGCTGGGTTCTGGCTTACGAAACCAAGGCTGGAACCCAATAGCTGTGGGTCTGAGTGGCTGACCCCAGCTTTTCAGCCAAGGTACAGGTTTTGCATACACATCATACACAAACATACATACAAATCTTAATAACATTTGTAATGGCTTTCAGATGAATGGATGTTTCTAAGGTTTGGAAAAGGTCTTAGTCATCCTATGCAGAAATCTCATTGCAATACTGAATAGATGAAGGAAAATGAATATGCAGTAACTATTACTGCAAATCTGTTTAATCCTGAAGACTTCCCAATGCAATGCAAATTTTAGGCTGGCTTTGAAAACATTCTGGCTACAGAAATAGATTCATAGGAAGGATGGACTAATGCAATATTACATAAATCATAATCAATCCTTCCTTCCCTCTTATGAGACTATTAAAGGCTTAATGGAAAAAAGTACAGCTTGTTGAATTAAGATTCCCAACACTTTTTAAAATTGCTTGTTATGGACAAATTACTCATTTCACTAACTTCATGTACATGTCATTGCCTTATTAGAATTATTTTTGTAATGATAGGCTGATTTATCCAACTATTTAATGGGAGATGTTCCATAGGCCAGGTAGGAAAAGAGAATTCTCACCTTATTTAATGATGTGTTTTTTGCCAGCCCAATCTGGGTGATGAAACTTTGTCTCTAGAACCTGAAGAGGAAACTGATGGGCTAGACTCAGTCAGGACAAATGCAGATGTTCCATCCCAAGTTGCAGAAGAATTGAATGAGCCTATACTGAATGCTCAAAGTAGCATCTTGCATACAGAAGAAATCCAACAGGTAAATAAATTTTCTCTCTATGCTTTGGAATTTTACATTTTTCATGGGGATATCATAGCTTAGCCTCTTTGCTTGTCCCTGGGAATTGCATAGGAAAAAGCCCATTTCCTCCAGACAATGCATTTAGCTGATGCAAGTTTTATTGACACATGAACTGGGTTCAAACATCATGCTAACCCACAATGTAGCTTGTCAACAGCACATTATGTGACTCCAGCCATTGTACTTTGTGGCTTAGGGTGTAAATTGAGATTTATTCATTTGAATAAACAATGATTTAGCGTGGTATGTAAATCCAACCATTTTGTTCCCTAATAAACAAATAGGCAAGTTTCTGGCAGGATTGAACTAATTTCTGGCAAAGATTGAATGTTTACTTTTGCTTAGGCAGAATCCAGATGCTGGATGAGGGAGTCTTGTTTTCAGTTATGTGTTTTCCAGCCTGCAATTTCTAGCCTGCAAAGATCATGCTGATTCTAATCTAACATTTCCAAAGATGAACAAACTGAGAAAAGTTGATAAAAGGAAAAGACTGCAAAATGAGGCAAATTGATCTTGTTTATATGGTCCCTCTTAGCTAACTCCACATCTCCCTCTGCGAGTGACTGCCTATCCTTGGAACCTTGTCTACTGTACAGCAAGGGATGGATTTAGTCTGAAGACCATGTATAGAAGCATGAGCAACTTGGCCTCTCCTGTGTTATTGATTATCAGGGATACTGATGGGCAGGTAATCCAGATAGGTCTAAATCACAACTTTACATATGTAAGATTGATGATATGGAAAAGAAGAATACTAATTAATTAGGTCTAATTAATCAACTTTAAATAATTAGGCAATTATTCTTCTCCTTTCACAACATTAAGAAGCAGTCAACAATATTTAGTACATCTTCCTGATCACTTAGAAAGGGTTTGAAATGGGAAATGGGAAGATGCAAGAGAAAGGAAAAGATCCATTTTACAATGGATATAATAATTGCAGACCCAGTTTGGTCTAGTGGTTAAGGCAGGGGTCCCCAACCCTCAGTCCGTGGACCAGCACCAGTCCATGGCATGCCAGCAACCGAGCCGCACAAACAAGCGAAGCCCCCATCCAGGGGATGCGGGCAGTACACAAAACCACCACCCCTCTGATCTGCTGAAAACTCTTTCTCCATGGTTGGGGGCCTCTGGGTTAAGGCACTGGGCTAGAACTCAGAATACCGTGCGTTCAAGTTCTGCCTTGGCATGAAAGCCAGCTGGGTGAACTTGGACCAGTCACTCTCTCTCAGCCCAACTCGCCTCACAGTTATTTGTAAAAATAATAAAGCGGAAAATAAATAAACAGCTCATTATGTGTAGATTGGAGGTAATGCAAGTCATCTTGATGGATAGAAAAAGGTACCTGGCTTCACCACCCAAGGCATAATCTGCCCCCTGAGCTACTACTTTAACAGATTGTTGGAAAGCTGAGTTCCACTTTAGAAATGTAACAGTTCACATTTATAAAATCTATTCATGTTTATGATAAACAAACTGTTGTTGTCTTATTATTGTTTGACAACAACTATTTAAAATCCTAGGCCATTTTGTAACCAACATTTTAATAATAGAAAGGATACTGGATTTAAAATAGAAAAATGGCTTAGAAATATAATTCAATAATTCGTAGACCGAATTGATCTACATTTTAGCATGTTTAATAAATAGTCAATTTTGGTTCATTCAATATAATAGGCTAAGCAGAACATGATTTATCATGATGAGCAATGTGCATAAAGATAGGCATGATTAAATTGCTGAATCCTGAAACATATTCTCTGTATCTTTTTCAGATATTTGGAGCTTTTTCTTCTACAGCTATTCATGTGAGCAGCTGTTTTTATGGCAATGGAGAAACATTTCTGTTCTCTTTCACTCCACAACTCAAGGTGATTGAAACTCCATATGTTAATCCCTATGTTGAGTGAGTTGTTTTTGTATTTACAACTTCAAGAGCCAATAGTTATTCAAATTTTGCCAGTCATTAAATTGGTATGGCTATAAAGGGCACACTTTAAAAAATTCTGTGATATTATTGGGTTCCAAAATATAACTTGGTAAATTCCAAAAAGGTTTTGATAGATTAGTGAATGGGCTAAGGGAAAATGAAATTTAATAGAAACATGTGAATTTCTTCTTGTGATGAAGAAGAAAGAATAAATAAAAAAAAAAAACAGAAATCATGAAACAGAAAGCATAGGTAAATGTATGGAATGGAATATAACTAGTCTGGTAATTTATTATTTGTGAAAAGCATATTGGACAAATAATTTGAATAAGTGCAGATTAAACGTGAGTCAGTATTTTGATATTGTTGGGAAAAGAGTCGACTAATGTAATTTTAGGCTGCATCAATATAAAAATTGTTTCCAAGTTCAAGAAAAAATAAGAGCTCCACTTTATGATTCAGGCCCTATCTTTGGTATTGTGTTTGTTTCTGGCACCACACTTTAAGAAAGATTCAGACAATCTAAAACAGATTTAAGGAGCAACAAGATGAGAAACTATCTCTTATGAAGAGAGGCTGGATGAACTGGGATATTTAGCCTTGAGAAAAGAATATTAAAGGAGAGTACAATAGCACTCTTCAACAACATGAAAAGATGCACCCAGTGGAAATTATTCAATGAAATGTCAGAAAAAAAGTTTGTTAATAACAAAAGGACTTTGACAATGGGTTCTTCCTCTTTAAATATCTTCAAATGAAGGTAGACAGTCTTCTGTTGGGAGAGTTAATATAGATTCATATACTGAGCAGTGAATTGTACCAGCACTATAAATCAGGATGCTTTCAGGAATTGTCCAGCCAGCATGCTACCTCTCTATGATGCTTTCTTTCTATACATGTCCACATGGAAGGTAATAGCTGGACATACAATTAGATACAATCTATTAAATCACACTATGAAAAGGTTTAAGCTATCACTGGAAATAACATGAGTGGGATTTTTTTTTTATAGGAAGCCTGTATAGTTTTATTCCTAAATTGCTTAATGCTATGCATTTGATTCCCTTGTCAGGTATTTAAATGGACAGGCAAAAATACCTTCTTCATGAAAGGAGATGCAGACTCTTTAGCCATTGGTGGTGGCAGGTAGGTAGCTTTGAAAGACAGCTGGGTTATAAGGAAATTAATTTGTCAGTTCAGCATGCCTGCTGCATTGCAATCTCATTAGCTCTTTTGCATGGCTAAGGAAGATCATGAATTGATGTTTGTAGCTCATAAATGACATTGTCATTGCTGCCACTAGACAAGTAATTTATTTTTTTAAATGATCTATAACAGTAAAATTGCCCTAAAAATGTGGATTCTTTTTTTTTTTACTCAATGCAAGTCATCACTAGCACCCTTTCCTTACTTCTTTGTCCTGTTATATCATGCTGAATATGTCATCCTATCCCCTATTTGCTATCTTCACACTCTTGTTATTCCAATGACATGCCAGCTGTTGAGTTTTTATGCATGCCATTTTATTGGACATTGGAATAACTGCCAAGTTGTGAATATTATTACTTGCCAAAGTTCCCTGCTAGGGCATTTTCTCTTCCACACCAGTCTCTTTGGTTTTCATGCACTAGCAAGTGTTGGAAGAATGTCAAGTGATGCAGTTGAAACTATCTCCAAAATGTCCAAGGTTTCCAAGAGTATGAAAGAATTCTACATTTGATTTTCTTAATAGTAATGTTAAAGTGATAGGTATGTCACAATTCTGCCAGAGCAAAACAAGATCTTGGAATAAAAAGCAAAATGCTTTTTGTATTTAGCATAGCTTCCATCACCTGGTAGCACCATCCAGCACCCCAACTTAGAAAACAAATGCAAAGCTTATGCACTAAATGGACTCCAGCAAATGAGTCAGTATCATACCATTGAATAGGTTTTGTGCTATGGAAGTTATTCTATGTGCTATCTCTTGCCTTGTATGCAGTGGTAAATTTGGACTCTGGCTAGATGGAGATCTGAACCATGGAGGAAGCCACCCCTGTGAAACCTTCAATAATGAAGCATTATCACCCAAAGAGGAATTCCTCATCCGAGACTTAGAAGTTTGGACATTGTCTTAACTGGAAGACTGGGAGAAAAATCAGACATCTCTTCACATAAACTTTCCAAGCTCTTGAGAAAGAGGATTTGGTCAGCAGTCCTGCATCAGTTTGTCAAATCCTCCTCAAATGAGGATAAACCTGTTGTGGATTCCCCATGTCTTTTATAGATTGGCAAGAAAGAAAGCTGAAGAATCTTACCAATTTTCTAATATTTATATCCCTCAATTACCAGCCTCTTCTCAAGTAAGCTGCATCTAAAAGTAGTTTGTTCTTTGGATGTATCCGGGTCAGTGGTACACATCTGTAGTGCAGATAGGAAGTGATGTCTGGGTAACAACCCTATTAGGAATTGGTAAGCAGTAAACGTATTTGCCACTATTGCTTGCTGGGGAAGTAACATAAAAAGATGTTGTTCTTTGCTTTAACAGATACCTGCCCATTTATGGGTCAAGCTACTTTCATAATAGAAGCAAACATATTGCTCTTAGGCTTCACCTAAGACATTTTTACCTGCTTGTAAAATATTAAGTAAATAAGGAGAAATTTCCTGACAATGAGTTATTAAGCAGTGGAACAAGCTGCCTCCTGGAGTTGCAGGTTGTTCCATTCAAGCAAAAGATTGGAAAGCCAATTGTCTGGGTAGCCAGAGGATCCTGGTCCTGAACAGCAGGTTGGACTAAAGACCTCCAAGATCCCTTCCAACCCTGATTCTGTACTTCGGCTTTATGCTTTGAGAAATCTCTAGAGACTTTCATAGGAATTCCTATGACTTAATTGCCATACTTAGGAATAGTTGAGTATTTATATCACAACACATTTCTATTGTTGTTTTGTTGTGTTCACATGCCCAAATACCTTCTAAAAGAGACATATTTCTCTAAATGTGTTAGTGCCTACAAACAATGGCTCCATACTTAAAGAAGAGAATATTTATAGCTCAGGGTTGAACTGTGGTGTCCTTGGTGCTCTCTGAGCTTGGTAGCACATGCAATGAAATACTACAATCATTTTTTTCCATAGCAAGTCACCTTTTGAGCTGAACTCTGATGATGTAAAATGGACAGGTCCATTCAGTATTCATGGCTTCATACATACAAAAGTGTGTTGCTGTTGGTTTCTTGCAAGGAACTATTGTTTTTGCATCTTAGGACCTGTAGGGTTTTTTTTTTTGCCTGCAAAAGCAGCTTTGTAAATGATAGTTGTTCTTTAATACAATGTAGCCTCACTCGGGTTTTACATCAAACTTTTTAGTGTTTTCCTTTCTATTATAGAAAGCTCAGTTTTATTAGCAATGCATTTGCAACATTTTGTCTCCAGAAACTTGTCTGTAATATGGACAATTTTCACTATTGCATTTCTGGCATCATTTTATGAACATTTCAACATTCTATAACATTTATATGCATCATGATTTTGCATCCATATATAGGGTTACCAGAAAACTGAACAAATAAAGGAAGACAAATGAGGGGAAAAAGAATACACGCTATTTAATATTTGTATTTACATTCATGGGAGGGGAAGGAATTACAACTGAGTAAACAGCCACACAATGGGGAATATACACTGAGATGAATGTATATAGTGCCTAGTAAATAGTGCCAGCTGTTTGCCTAACATGTTTGTGGTTCTGTCCCAGAAGCAGCTTAGGAGGCAAAAGCCTTCAGCATGTAACTGATAAAGGTTTTATCAATTTCAGGCAACAGTACAAGTGGGAAGGTTCTAATCCAGGGGTGTCAAACTCGCAACATCACATGGCGTGTTGCAACGTATCGTGACTTTTTTTTCCATTGCCGGCAATGGGGTGGACGCGGTTTCGGCATGATGCATCCGGCCCGTGGGCCGGCAATTTGACACCCCTGCTCTAATCAATTGAGGTCATAGATCTAACCTTGTTTGTTAACTTGCCGTTAGCATTTATTAGGGAAGCTTAGATCTATATTCCTCTTCTGAAGGAAAGCTCAGGTATGCAAAGGGGGGGGGACAACATTTGGCTGTCTGCTGGATGGCGGTCATGAAGACAAAATGGAAGACACATCCTCCTTTTGATGGATATCTGTATATTCCTGTGTAAAAAGGATGCAGGGTGGTAATTTTCTTTTCGCAAAAGCGCAAGTTAATACAGAAGCCCAGGATTAACATGAACAATTCACTAACCATTCACACCCGAAGCTGAAAGAACAACCTGATTTACAAATAGGAGCAACGTTTGAAAATTCTCTCAGCTGGACCAAATGCTGTTTGAATCCATATGGTAAGCAGGTCTTTAGGAGCTTCACAATTTCTTTCTCATGGTCATATAAACCCTGAGCTTGCAGCAGTTTGCAGTTCCAGCAACTGCCATAAGGATTTGCTGTAATGATTCCGTCTAATGCTGGGAAAGATTGAGGGCAATAGAAGAAGGGGACAACAGAGAATGAGGTGGCTGGATGGATTAACTGAAGCAGTAGGCATGAGCTTAAATGTACTCCAGAAGATGGTAGAGGACAGGAAGGCCTGGAGGAACGTTGTCCATGGGATCGCGATGGGTCGGACACGACTTCGCAACTAACAGCAACAGTAGATCCTTGAAAAAAACCTCAGGCTTTCCTAACACAAAAACAATTAAATGTACAACACCCCCGCCCCCAATACATCCATATTCTAAATCCACTGAGGGATAAGTATAATTTTCTGCCCATATTATATTTTAATTGCAAAGTTCTAGCTTGGCTTAAGCTTGAATATTTTTAAGAAAATTGAAGAAAGATTAGTTAAATTTAAACAGATTAAGGCATAAAGCAGCAGATGTTATTGCTGAATGAAATGTTCACCAGCTGATATTCAAATTCAGGCTATAAAATATAAAGTTAGGTTGGACTGAGTATTTTATTAGTTAAATTCTATTCTCAATGTAAAAAGGAGGTGAATGTCTCCCAATTCCTTGCAACCTTCTTCAAATCAGTGGTGTGAAAGATGAAATGGATGAAAATCACTTTTGTTTTTTTCAGTGGGAATATATATCTTTCTTCCATACCACAGGAATAATGGGTTATGGAAAGGCAAATCTGTAGCCAACATCATATTTTTAAATTAAAAAATGAAGAATTCTTCTGAATTCAGATTTTTTTGAATGGGCCTAAAACAAGAATTATACTTTAGAATGAAATATTAGTTCTTGTAATTAACAGAAACATGCTACGTTAATATATAAAGTAAATATTGTAGAATTTGGTTTCCAGAAATAATGTAAAGAAACATCATATTGTTCTGAACAAAGAATCCATACTATCTGATTACTACAAGACATAAAAAATACATTCAAAGTTAGCTTCAGAGAAGTTGGAAACACTTCCCTCTTACAGTTTTGTCTCTTTATGGTTCAAAATAATTTTCTTGTGTTTCATTGAAAGCATGAGTCCTATATTGTTTTATAGTTGTTTCTTTTATTAAAACAATTATCAAAATATTCATAACTTTAAATATTGTAATATTTATTGTGCTAATACATATTTAGCTCTAAATCAGTATACATTCACCAGCTGTCATGATCTAAAAGTTAAGAAATTATGGAATAATTTCATAGAAAATATATAAATTTCAAGCAAGTAGCAGAAGAGCTTCCCCACTCTCAAATTTTATTTTATGTATTTACTCAGATGGGAAGTTATGGGTTTTATTCACTAGTTCATTTCACTGTTTATGGTTTGCACTAGTGGAAAGAATATTTGTGAATATTAGTAATCCAATTTTTGATTTACCGGTAATTTTTAATTTAAACAACACTGCCTGAATACTAAAGCTAAAGTTAGTGCAAGGAATAATATTTTCATGAAATTGACAAATTATACATTGGGGGGGGGGGCTCAGCCATCTACACTGCAGACATCGATTTTGGACCTGAGTATTTCTGCAGCAGGATATGCTGCTCTAGAATGGAATGCATCCACACATGCAAAGCAAGTTGACATCACTGTCAGATGCTCTAAACCCACACCAATTGAGAAAATGTACCCTCTTGCTGGTATTGCTCTACCTAGGATTAGGAGAGAAGTAGCAGCAGACACTGAGAACCAAACGAGAGAATTATCCCCCGACATCCTCTGAATGGATACATACCCCAAACTCGTTGACTTAAATCTAGGAAGTTTTATGGGAGGAGCAAAACTAAATTAGAAGATGGAGAACAGAATTTATGGAACAAGAAATAATCTCAAAAGAGAACATGGCTGAGGGATTTGATCTCCCTATGTTAGTTGGAAGACACTGAAAAAGTTGACGATGGAAGTACCTAAAAGTAAGATCAACATGCTCAAATAGGGGGTTGCTGGAGGATAACAACATGCAATATGAAAGTGGGGAGAGGCAGAGTCTGGCCCATTTGTTGGTCTGTCAATTACTACCAGTAGAATGCACTGAAAGTGATTTGTTTCTGGCCAACGATAAAGCCAAAAAGGTAGCCTCATTTCGGCAGTTTAAGGTTTAATCTGGACATGAAATAAATAAAAATCACTCAGGCCTACTTACTATAAACCCTTTCCCCATCCCTTGAGGAAGCATCTCTGAAATGGGGGGGGCACATTTCAAACAGTTCAGGAGAAGATAAAGCCTAATGAAAATTGGTTACCTCTCCCTGTGCAAATTTAGAGAATTTACACTTATAAAAACAATGCTGGGTTCAGTGAAGTATTCAGAATATTTTAGAAAAATGATTTATAAATCTTAGTTTCTTGACTTTTAAACCCTGAGGTATTTTTGTAAGTTTGCTATATAGAACAGTGATGTTTATCTTAAATTAACACTAAAATAGTGTTGATAAATTATTTGCACAGCTTTCTCAAAACCACAATAATATACAATTTTGTGAAAAAGTCTACAGGTATTTTCCACTGCAGTTTTTCAAAGGGATTGTGCAGGCTTACTCTGTAATTTTACAGAATATCTTTTGGAGAAAGTTTGGCTAGAATACATCCACACACAAAGATACATGCAAACACACAAGATTGAAGGAATATACTAACTCAATCTTTAAAAAAGTTTTGTTTTACAATTTAAAGCAGGACTGTTTATGTTTGAAACCTGATTTTCATCATCCTTGTTCCAGCCTTTTTTCATTGGAGTAAGTTCTGGAGCAACCACATCACCATCCTATCAAATAATCAAAATGGAGAAATTAAGTTTTGCATTTCAGATAAACTGTTAAGATATTTTGTCATCTTTTCTCCTGACAATTGAAATAAATATTTATGTGTACATTTAAGGGAGACGATTCCTAAACTATTGGAAAAGATAGAACAATTTAGAGAGATAGCAGGATTAAAGATAAATAGAAAAAAAACTAAAGTGATAGTTAAAAATGTTACAGATAAACAAAAAAAGCAATTATCAGAAAAAATAGAATTGCAAATAGTCAAAAAGGTCAAATATTTGGGAATATATTTGACAGCAAGATGTTCCAACAATAAAAGAAGATAATTACATTAAATTGTTAAACCAAATAAAGCTTGATTTGGAAAAATGGAAGAATCTTCAACTGTCGATGTTAGGAAGAATTGCTATGGTGAAAATAAATGTATTACCAAAAATATTATTTTTATTTCAAACAATACCTATAAAACTGGAGAAAAAATTCTTTGAAGATTTAAACTCTCTAATTCAAAAATTTATCTGGCAAGGAAAAAAAGCTAGAATTAAATTGAAAATGTTACAAGAAGCCAAGGGAAATGGAGGCTTTGGCTTGCCAGATTGGGTTTTATATTATCAAGCATCAGTGTTAACATGGAAAAAAGAATGGATAACTCTTAGAAATAAAAGATTTCTGTATCTGGAGGGACATGACCTGCAGCTTGGTTGGCATGCTTTTCTATGGTACGGAAAAAATAAAATATATAAATACTTCTAAAACCACTACATTAGAAACGCATTATTATTAACTTGGGAAAAAATAAAATGTAAAATTTATTTGAAAAAACTAGGATGGCTTTCAACAATGGAAGCATTTGTACATCCAAATCTAGTCAGTCTCGATAAAATATGGACATACAAAAATATTCTAAATTCTGAAGGGAACTTAAAATCCAGGCATGAGATGGAAAATCAGGGCATCGATTTAACATGGTGGTCACATTTACAAATGCAAGTCAGATATGATAAAGATATTAAACAGTATAGATTTTACAAAGAACAGATTATGTTTGATCAGACATTATTAATTTCTGATGAAAAGTTAATTTAAAAAATGTACAATTTCTTATTAAATTTCAAAATGGAAGATGAACAAGTAAAAGAGACAATGATAGTATGGGCAAAGAATTTTGGATATAATATAGACTTAGAAAAGTGGCAAAGTTTGTGGGAAAGAAACTATAAATTGACAATGTCAGCTTCATACAAAGAAAACTTATATAAAATGTTTTATAGATGGCATTTGCCACCAACAAGATTAGCAAAAATGTTTAAAAACATGTCAGATAAATGTTGGAAATGTAAACACAAACCAGGTACTTATTATCATATGTGGTGGACATGTGTTAAAGCACGGAGATATTGGACAATAATACACACTTGGTTAGAAAAAATGTTAGAGAAACACATAGACTATAAACCTGATTTTTTTTAACTAGGTATAATGCCAGAAAAACTTGATAAACAAAGTACATATTTGATTCTACATGTGATAACAGTGGCAAGAATTATATTTGCACAATATTGGAAGAACGAAGAAATACCACCAGAAGAAGAAATAATCAAAAAAATATTAGACTGTGCGGAAATGGACAGACTTACTTTAAGGTTGAAAGAAAAAGAAGAAACAGAATATTTTCAAACTTGGGACCTATTTTATCAATGGTTAGAGAAAAGATTTAGGGATTAGGAATTTAATTCGTATTAGTGAATAAGATACCCACACAACACGTTTTTGTTGAATAATTATTATCGAACTCTGTTTAAAAATAATAATAATAATAATAATAAAACTTTTAAAAAAAAAGAATTACACTTTCCAAAATTTTCAGGAGGATGTCTTATTATGAGTGTACTTTCATTCATGTATGAACATCTTACCCGTGGTTTAGTGAAATCCTTATTCATACACCACTGAACAAAATATTTTGTAGCAGCTTCAATTATCTTTGTATCCTTTTTTTTACAATAAACTCTGATGATCTGCTCTGCAAATTTTTCTGGGAGCAGCTTTGAAACCTTAAAGACATAAATAATTAAAACGCTTAATAACTTCAATGACTTTCCTGATCTTCCCCAAGCAGTAAAACAGAACATTGAAAGCCATTATAAAAGGAGCATCCAGTACAAGCATAATGGAGCTAGGGTAGAAGATTCACCCTTTAAAACTGAATATCATTACAGGCAATTCTCGACGTATTGCTTAGCGACTGTTCAAAGTTACAAAGAACCCACCCCCAAAGGTACTTTTGACCCAGATCTGAAACCGCAATGGCTGTTCTCCTCCCCAGTCTCATATCGTATTTTGGGCACTCAGCAAGTGGACCACATTTACGGCCATTTGCACAATCCCGCAATCACATGACCACGATTTACTCTTTTTTTTTTTTGCCAGCAACTAGCATATAGTTCTGATTCTGGCAAAAAATGGTCCTTGAGGACACAAGTTTTACTTAATGCTTACAGGGTTTGCATTACAATCACAGGGTTCACGTTACAACCGCTACAAATAAAGCATATAAGGAAAAGCTGCTGGAATTGGGTATGTCTAGTTTAATGAAGAGAAGGACGAGGAAGGACATGATAGCAGTGTTCCAATATCTCAGAGGCTGCCACAGAGAAGAGGGAGTCAAGCTATTTTCCAAGGCGCCTGAGGGCAGGACAAGAAGCAACGGATGGAAACTAAGCAAGGAGAGAAGCAACCTAGAACTAAGGAGAAATTTCCTGACAGTGAGAACAATTAACCAGTGGAACTCCTTACCTCCAGAAGCTGTGAATGCTCCAACACTGGAGGTTTTTAAGAAGAGACTGGACAGCCATTTGTCTGAAATGGTATAGGGTTTCCTGCCTGAGCAGGGGGTTGGACTAGATGACCTCCAAGGTCCCTTCCAACTTTATTATTATTATTATTATTGTAAATTCAGATATGGTTATATGATAACTGCATGAATTCTGAACATAATTCTGGGCTCAATTATACTTTTAAATCAAGGACTACCTGTAATATGGTGGCTATTTTCTTAAAACCAATACAATAAACTGGCAAAATCAACCACTCCCATTTTTACTTACTTGTTCTCTTGCAATTTTGACTGCCTGAGTGATGTCATGCTTGCAGTAGAAATGAACATTATTGACGGGGTTCCTTTCTTTCATTCCATAATCCATATCAATAACCTTTATATGGCAAAATCAAAATAGAGCACACTTAACAATTTATATAAATATACTCTAAGAAAGCAAAGTAAGGTATTTTATTTTTAAAAAAGGCTGAGCTTAGTTGTTTTCTTGCAGACATTTTATTACCCAGATTAGATAAAAAGATCAGTACTAAAACTGATAATGATACCTAGTTTGCAAAAAACAACTAAGCTCAGAGAGCACCAAGGAACCCTCTGAGCTACAAATATTCTCCTTTATTGGTAAAAACAAAACCAAAAAAGCACCTTACTTACATCAACAAAAAAATCTTCAGCCTTCAGTTCCACATCTTGAGAAATTGTAATAGGTTTGCATTCAACAATTTCAGCACACAATCTATCATAGTCTTCCTGGAAGGCATAACATTTTTAACTTTTCATTGAGTCAGCAGACAACAGTATTTTCAGAAACTTGATTAATATTTAAAAAAATATTTCAGTTACATATATCATTTACTGCAACAAATATAGAATTGCTATAACATTATATTCTATCTATATAATCTATATGTGTGTGTGTGTGTGTATAATTTTCAAAGCAGTAATTACATCTACATTGGCAAGAGCATTCCGAACACTCTTCAGATGGACTACAGTTGGAGTGAAGTTAATCTCCATTACAAAGAGAAGGCAAGGTTACTATATTTTAGTATTTATTATTTCATGATAAAAACTTATAACAACATTTTCTTGGAAATATACAGTATATAATTGAAATATGGATTTAATAAAAAGTATGGCTCATATGCTCTAACAGCCTCTAAGGTACCTACATTATTAGGATCCTTAAAAGATACAGCACTCTTATGAATGAAAAGCAACAATTCAATTTTACAAAAAGAAAAATAAGAATATTAGTCATATATCTGAACTGCGGAATGAAGAAACATGAAAAATAATTATTAAATACAAAATGAATTTATTGGAAGATACATTTTTGAAAGGAAACTTTTTTGGGGTTTTTTTCCAGTGCCTTGTACCTTATTGAAAGGAAAGTATGGAGTATATGCCTTTTGAGAGTATGTGTGCATGGACAGCAATTTAATTCTATTGCTATTTCCAATAGAAGTTCTGTTGTAAATGGAAAATATCCTACCTAATTCATTGCAAAGGGATTTTTCAATTTTCAAAAACATGTTGTTTCCTGCAAGTACACTACCCAATAATTACCAAAGGCTGCCACCTCTTCTTTTCCTGTGCAACTGGGATGAAAAGGCTCATTCCCATGATTTTCTATGAACACTGAAACATTAGTTCTGATTAGACAATCCTTGCCCTGTTGGGTTATTGTTTCAGAGATATTTCCTTACTTAAACAGAGAAATAAAGTTGGGCAAAAAAAGCAGTCAGAATAGAAGCGACTTTCAATTTCCTACTGCCTTCCCCATTGAGTTTCCTTCTAGGAATCTGTCAAGGAGGATAGGAAATATTTCTCTCTCCCTCCCTCCCTCTTTCCCATTTTCTTCCCTTCTCTTTCAGGTAGGCAGGTAAGAAGCTGCTGCTGAGTGGAGGAGGAAGCAAGGGATTGTGATACTGGCTCAAAAACTGTCATAAGACGATTGAAAATAAAGATCATATTATAGCAGCCACAACTTTCCCAAATTTTATCCCTTGGGAGTCATGGGCCCCAGATTTTGGAAACATTTTGTAAGTTAGCCCATTTGAAGTAACTTGGTTCAGAAATTGTTATCCTATGATGCACCATTTCATCCAATCAAAGGACACAGAGTTTTAATAGTATAGAAATGGAGCACTCAAACTACTAAGAATTCCATTTCACTAAAACACACATAAATGAAACATTCTGAAACAGCAAAAGTTCTACTTTGCACAGATTCATCTGGTGTTCCAATTACAACCTTTTCTGGATTGGGAGACTTTGCTCACAATTACTCATGCCTTAGTCCCCTCCTATTTGTATTACTGCAACATGTAGATGCAGAGAAGAGCAATAAAGATGATTAGGGATCTGGAGGCTAAAACATATGAAGAATAGTTGCAAGAACTGGTCATGTCTAGTGAAGAGAAGGACCAGGGGTGACATGATAGCAGTGTTCCAATATTTGAGGGGCTGTCACAGAAAGGAGGGAGATAACCTAATTTCCAAAGCACCTGAAGGCCAGACAAAGAACAATGGATGGAAACTGATCAAGGAGAGATTCAACCTAGAAATAAGGAGAAATTTTCTGACAGTGAGAACAATCAACCAATGAAACAGCTTGCCTTCAGAAGTTGTGGGTGCTTCATCATGGGAGGCTTTCAAGAAAAGACTGGACAACGACTTATCAGAAATGGTAGAGGGTCTCCTGCTTGAGCAGGGGGTTGGACTAGATGACCCACAAGGTCTCTTTCAACTCTGTTATTCTGACGACTACCCAGAAACTTCAACTGGTTCAGAATTTTTATTTATTATTACATTTATGTGCCACCCATCTTGTCAGTAGAGGCAACTGTGGTGGCACACACAGTGATGAGTCCCCTTAGGGGACTTTTAAATGCTCTTGCTCATCCTTCCCTATTTTTAATGATCCAAATTTCAAAATATTGCCAAACTTTATGAATCTTATGACAGATTTATATTCAAGAATATGGAAAATGAATTATTGCTCCATTATTATAGCTAAGTGAATTCATACAATGAAATGACATAACATGCAACTTAAAAAATTGTCTCTACCTTTTTAATTTCCTTTCCCTCTGGTGGCTGCGTTTCCCCCAAGCACTTAAAGAGATCACGCTGCTGTATTTTACACAGAATTTCCCGTGCATCACTCAGCTCTGGTTCATCAGAATGTAGAATCCTTAAAAAGATTTCATCTGCCACAGAAGCAATATATAAATAATTATTCTCACATATATTTCTATTAAAGATTTCAATAATAAACAATAATGCAAACTAAAAGAAAGAGCGTGAGATCCGCTTTCTTGTCGGGCTGCCAGTGAGCAGCCGAGGCAGCTCCAGACCCCCGCTGCCCCTCCCCCTCCCCCTGCTTCCCTGTGTGGTTGGCCTGTCAGAGCAGCAGCAGCTGCAGATGGGGCCCAGGCCAGGCAAGGGCTTCCTTCCGGCCGTTCCGGGGCCGTCTCCGCCCGCATCAATGGGGCTCTGTGGCTAGTTTGCCATGATGCAGGACAGCCGGCAGGCTGTGGCTACTGACAGACACCATCTGCCCCCATGCGCTCGCTGGCTTCTGTGTGCAGGGGCCGATGGTGTCAGGCAGCAGCTGCCCCGGCCCGTCTTGCCTTGCCTTGCCCCACGGCAATTGCCACCCCTGCCCTGCCTCGCCTCACCCCACAGGATGAGCCTCCAGCCTACCACCCCAGCCGCCAGAGACCCCCTGGATCTTCCCCAACCCTGCCTGGCCCTCACAGGCATCCCTCCCCACAAGCATCATCGAGGTGGCCATGCCCACCCTGGCCGTGCCCACCCAGTCAGCCGTGGCTACCGCAGTCATGCCAACACAGTAAGCCACGCCCACCCAGCACCCAGCAATAAATAAGTGGGTTTTGGGTTGCAGTTTGGGCACTCGGTCTCTAAAAGGTTCGGCATCACTGGGGTAAGATCTTTTTCCTCATTTTCTAATTCTACAAACCCTTCCAAACTATAGATTATATAACTGGAGTACCATCCAAAACAGTAGAGACCTGCAGAAATACCCAGTTTTTGAGACGATTTGCAGTTTCAGTGGAAACATTGTTACAGTATTATAGCACCTTGCTACAAACTGAAACCGGAGAGAAATACTTCTCATATTTAGTGTGATAAGAATTTCTGGCAAACCCACATATTCACCTGTCAGCTTTGTATAGGCTTCCATGTCTTCCAGTGCTGTAGAGATCTGGAATACTTTTCCATCTGAGCCCTTTATTTTGATATGTGGATCAGCCTTTAAAAAGGCATCAGTAATCCTAATATGAAATAGATGATACAAACTGGAAATTATTAAAAACTCTTTTCCAGAAACTCCAGATTTAATTGTACTTAAATATAAACATTTTACCTTCTTCAATGAAATCTACTTTGACAATTATTAAGAGAGAAAGGAAGGAGTTTGTTCATCTGGGCTATATTAGCAGAGAAAAACAGTTAATTGGCTAGAGTAATTTATTAAAAATATTTTGAGAGACCAATGATACTTCTAAGTATATTAACTGCACACAACTTATTTATAAAAAGTACAGCTAAACATCAAGCCTTATTGAAGCAGCATTTCCCTCCCTAATCATGTAGAGATATAACTTCTTCAAATAATATCTTGTTCATTGCAAATGTATGCAGATTTAAAACTATTAAAATGTATATTTTTATAAGAATTGATTTAATCAACATTTCCCACCAGAGTAGATCCTTTCAAACTTACATGGTTTCAATAATGTTGCCAACTTTATGCTGATATGCTCTGCGGTGCAGACAATTTCGTGTGTGGAACATATCATACAAATTTCCAACCTCCTTTTAAAAATAAAAAATATTTATCTTTGTTATTAAAACTATAGCTACAAAACAATACAGCATTGAGAACAGTATTAACCAACTAATTCACAAAAACATCCACTTGCAAAATCTCTGACTCTCTAATTTTAATGGTCAGGGATATATGAAATACTCACTCCAAATGCTCGTTTCTAGATTTACAGAAATGAATTCTGATGACTCTTTTGAAGAAATACGGGATATTTCTGGAACATTTATTATGAATAAAATATTCACTATGTAATGCTATATATCAAAAGTTTAAATTGGTCATCCGATTCATAGCTTCTCATAAGTCTAAGTCTAAAGAGGATCACTCGAACCTAAATGTTTATTATTGCAATCTTACTGTATCAATTTTACCATAGTTCCTCATACTGGAGTTTGTTTTTCTAAATAGTAATGTTTTTTAAAAAAACTGCTCTTGAATAGAGCAATATATAGACTGTATATTGACAATATATTGTATGAAAGTTCTATAAATATAAAATTATTTTAATCAGTGAAAAATTCTCCAACAGTTATTTTTGCAGTTTACATTGCTTTGTTATTTAGATAATTTTTCTATCATTATGTCTTAGATATTTCATCTTATATTTTAGTAGACCCACAAGGCAATATTATATTCAGCATTTAAAATGACAGGTCATGGCTAAAATAGCCAGCACAGTGGAACTGAAGGGCCACGCGGGAGCCCCATCTCCCCTCAAGCCTAGATCTTCCTTCCCTTCAAAGGGAATTTGCAAATCTTAAGTGAAATAAAAGGTGTCACGGGGACACTTCTGACCCTTATTTCTGCTTTGATGATGATGACGACAGCATATATCTGCAAAAAGTTAATAAATAAATAAATAAAAATAAGCCATCCAGCGTCATCTTGAGACAAGATGGGCAGTAAACAAATCTAATAAATAAAATATAGGTTAGAGATTACATAAAGCCTGCTCTTTAAGGCTTTCAGTGCCACTCTTTCACCATTCAATAAACTCACTAACTTTGATAAGCAAAGAGTTAGCTTTCTAATCTTTGGAAGTCAGAATTTAGACTAGTAAGAAATCCAGTTCTAAAATTCTGTATTCTCCTTCAGAAGAACTATAACCTTTTCTTATTCCTGTCGTGTAGTTTGGATAACTGATACCTTTGTGAAATATACAAAATACATAATCTGTCCAAGGGAATTTACCTTGTCACGGGTACAAATATGCATCATATCTTTCACTTGGCACACCCGAGCAAATTTAATGAAGCGCTCATAATCAAAATTGTTTTGAATTCCAAGATGATGACAATCTCTGAGTATATTCCAAAAAGACAAATAAGACCATTCAAATATATTTTTTTTCAAATCTAGTTTGGATTTTATATTTTCTCATGAATATATTTATAATGATTATAATAAATATTATTGCACACAAATTAACATACAGTACTGATTTAAAATATTATTTATGGAAAGCAAAACAGTAGTAAAATTATTAAACCAAAATAGACGATGAACATGAAAAAGGTCAATAATGTATTTCAACATTCTATAGCGATCAACATTTTTAATGTTCATTTATTTGATTTTAAAGTCATAGTTATCATCTGACCAACATTCTTTCTCATTTTCCACCATATTTTTTTCTACTATGAATTATAGATCCACAGGAATCATTTCACTCAGAAAAACATCAAATGTGGACTGGTGAGGATGCTTATTTTTACTCAGCTTCCTCTACAGCTTTCTGATATATTATTCTGCAGAATCAATAGAAAGAGTGCTACTGGTCGAGATATTGTAGAGGTGGAATGAAAATAATTGAAAATTTCCATTTGTACTGATATCAACCTACTTTACACAGAACTAAATTTGGTACCAACGTATTGGCTTATCAAAGATTTCTCAAAATGATCCAATTAATAACTTAATTTCTTATTTATTTATTAAAATACATGACAAAGCTTGAGGTAAAACTGAGCTAAGATCTAGCCCATTTCTTGCCCACTCTTGATATATATGAATAGAGTTTGGTATTTCTTGCCCACTCTTGATATATATGAATAGAGGAGGGATACCACATTAGGTTATTTATTATTTCTATGTATGCTTGCCTTTACATCAAGATGACTAACAATCTAAAATAATACATAATAACATACAAAGCATAAAAACATTTAAAATCATTGATAAAATTCAAGGAGTCTAACTGCAAAGAAAAATACATTCCTATTCTTTTAGAAATGGAAAAATTTCAGTTTGTTGAAGGTGTTGTAGGCAAAACTCTTCCAATATCACTTCTAAAAATGTTTTCAAGTCCGATAAATAGTAACGTTTCCATACCTGGCAAAGTAGTCCCATTTATCAACGTCAATGCCACTTGTTTTGTTAGCCACTATTTCGTAAAGAAAACTCTTTTTTTGGGAACGACCATGATAGGGCCACTGAATGAGAAGGACAAAAATGTAAGCAAATACTGTCTTCTAATCAATAATTTTTACCTATTTCATGGTGAAAATAAATTACAATGGAACCAAGATTTTTCAGCAGTACCTTTCCAAAGTTTTATAAATGCTGCAGCAAATTAATTCCTATAATCAGTATTTTATGAGCCATGATGGTGCAGTGGTTAGACTGGAGTATTGCAAGCTTACTCTGCTCATATTGCCAGGAGTTCAGTTCCTTCAATCCTGATGGGCTCAAGGTTGACTCAGCCTTCCATCCTTCTGAGACTGATAAAATGAGGACCCAGATTGTTGGAGGCAATATGCTAACTCTGTAAACCGCTTAGAGACTGCTGTAAAACACTGTGAAATAGTATATAAGTCTAGGTGCTAAATCTAAGTGCTATTTTAATCATAAAGAATTAAAAAGCGGGCAGCCCTAGCCCGGCCCATGGAGGCGAGGGGGGGGTGAGGCAGCAGCAGTGGTGGGAGAAGGGCGTCAGCAAGAGGCAGGACAGTAGTGCAGTGTCGGCATTGGGGCCAGGGCATCAGTGCAGTATCGGGATGGACGGGGGGGGGGGGGGGGACAGCGGTGACTGTCCACAACAGTCTCAGTTTTTTATGTGGCCCTTGGGAAAATTAATTGCCATCGATTATAGATGTATTCCATAATTATTCCCATTGCTGTACGATGCCTGATTTAAAAAAAAGTTTTGCATTTATATAGAGAGTTTATATATGTGCCCTAGTGGGTGTCTTAATTCTGTATGACATTTCAAAAATTTCTTAGAAGCCTTCCCTCATTTCTGAGTTCAGTTTTTAATTTTGTTTAAAGTAATATTTATCTATTTTTTGAACAGGATTGAAAAAACATTTATGCATTTATTCTAATGATAGCTCTAAACATGTCAGCAAGCAGCATCTTCCACCCTCAGAAATGTCAAGACTAAGCCTGAGCCTTTCTGCACGCAACCGTTTGCTGTCCTACTGACCTCTTGCACCTTACTTATTAAAATAAGTAACTAACAGAAACTAATGACCTTGCCTTTTGCCTCTTTCCTCTTTTGATCCCAGTTCATTCTAGTAAACTGCACATTTAGATAAGATCCAGGGATATGAAAAATGGAACTCACCTTTTCAACCCCCCTTTTATTCTCAACAGGACTTGCTATCTGTTCTTTGATAAAATCCATGTCTTCATCCAACTTGAGACCATAATATTCCATTTTTGACCTTAGCTTATTGGAAGTGATTAAGTGTTCAAGCATCTGAACAGAAGCCTGCTCATGCTGTAAATATAGATATATATGTGTTAAATCACTTTTTTTTAAGCGTACGGCATACATAGTCAGGGGAGTCTACAATGCTCTGGCAGCTACTTCATTTTATTCACGCATGCATGCTATTCACGGGTACACTACAGGGGGCAAACTAGCTTTGCCCCAGCTGGCTAGTAGCTTTTGGTGGATGTCGGGTCATATAGGCTTTCTTCCACTGACTTTGCCTTGCAACTGGGCAGGTTCAGCGCCGGCTCCCACATGGAATGCTACTAGTTTTTCCCACTGGAGTGATATCTACTTATCTACCGGCATTTATACATGCTTTCAAACTGCTAGGGTGGGCAGGAGCTGGGGCAAATGATGGAAGCTCAGTCTGTCACGTGGTGTCATGGGTTTGAACAGCCAGAGTGCCGACCATTTCTGACCAACAAACCCAGGGTCATTATGCTGCTGCACCACCACACCCCCTTATGTTAATCACAATATAAACTATCAATCAATCCAGCATAATTAATATTTCTGCTTAAATCTCCACTATGATTTAAATTTGGCTTATGAATCCCAGCTATTTTGGAGGTAATTTGCTATAGTTTTAAGGTTGTATGTATTGCAAACAATATTTACAGTTACTGCAGTTATTGTTGCTTGTCTATCCATTCAGGGAATAAGCAGCAATAAAATACTTGCTCCTACAGGTAATTGTCGACTTACGACAAATCATTTAGTGACTATTCAAAGTTACGACAGAGTCTCCAAAAGCTACGGTTTCTCTTGCTGTCTTTGACCAGAATGCTAATTTTTGCTGCCTTCAAAAGAGTGACTTTTGTCTTTCAGAAACAGATGGAAAGATTGTCTACAACACAGTCCTTTCAGCCATCCCAAGAAGGTTCTGCACCGATTTGCACTCTGATTCATGTGACTCTGAGGATACAGATAAATGCCCAACTAGCCTCAAGAACTCTCAGACCGCTAATGATCAACCCTCAGAGTGCTAACAACCAGATGACTGCAAAGAATATAAAATCCTTCCATTCCCCACCATTCAGTCAGAACTGAAGAAGTTTCTTGGATGAGAAGCAAAACATTTTCAAGAAAAAAATCCAAGAAAGTCTGGTTGCCTTTTGGAAAAGCATCTTTGGGACAACCATGACTTGGATGATTGAGAATCTCCATGGACATATCTCATTTACAATACATATAAATTTAATAAATAAAATAAAATAATACCCACTTTCCATTTTAATCCCGGGCAAGCAAGTGGAATGAATCCTCCATCAAACATCAAACCATGACTTGGATGATTGAGAATCTCCATGGACATATCTCATTTACAGTACATATAAATTTAATAAATAAAATAAAATAATACCCACCTTCCATTTTAATCCCGGGCGAGCAAGTGGAATGAATCTTCCATCAAACATATGTGAAAATGGTCCATGACCTAAAAGTAAAGATTGTGCAATTAATCTTTGTGGCAGAGTTAAGATGTATTTGTGTATTTTTAAACACATATAGATATACTACTCAAATGTTCCTCAAATTATTGAGGTATTACTAAATTACAGCCGAAGTATTCACTTATTGTGTACTGAACCTGAATTGGTAATTTTTTAATCCACTCCCTCTCTCTCTGATTTATACTAGAATTAAAATTTAAGTTTCTAACAGTTTTCAAAATACCGGTATTTTAATTGCTTGTGTTGAAAAAACTGTGTTGAAATAAGTAATTTAATTTATAGAGTAGAACTTTAAAAGTTAAAAGCAATATTAAGCCAAAGAAACAAACTAGAAATCAAAGAAAGTGGCATGTTCTTCCTGTTACATTATTCAAAACATGGTTTGTAATCAGTTCCTAAAAACAGAAAAACCTTAGCATTTGGACTTATATTTGTGCTAATTGATAATACACAAGATTTATCTTTCTAACAACTGCACTGCATGTAAAAATTATATTTAGTTTTCCTTTCACAGAATAATTATGCTAAACTATTGCCAGAGTTCCCAAGGCAAGATCTTCCTGCCTTACCTTTCTTTTAGATGTTTCTAAATATTAACATTAAAATGAATAATATTTAAAAAGTTGATATGCTGTGAAGCAAAACAGTGTCATTAGAGTCATTTAAAGAATTATTTCTGTAAATATCTCAGAATTCAACACAAAAATGGTGGCTGGCTGCAACTTAGGTCTTTGTTATAAATGAACCGAAAGTAATCTGGGACCTGAAGGGAGGCAGCCTGAGGAACTAGACAGGAACTAGCAGGAATGCATTAATGAAGTAAAACATGGTAATAACACTCCTGACAAATTCAACTGCTGGTCAGTGACTGTGATAAAAGCTATCTATCCTGTAAATTTTACAGCTACCTGCACAAAATAATGACAGCTAACTGGGGCTAAAAATAAGGTTTGCTACTGTAGAGATCAAGCAAAGTATAATCTTTCAAAATATAATCTTTTATGTATAATCAATCTTTCCTGTATAACATAGCCCAGCTATTGTTCATTTATTCCTGCTTGCTTTCTGTATGTGCTCCATTGTATTCTAAATTGTGCTAATCAAAGAAAATGTTTCTGTTACTTTAAATTGTGTTGATCCAAGAGATAGAGAATCTGCAACACTTCGTTCTTTTTCCACCCCCTTTTTCTCCTTGTCTCCTCTTTTGCTCTTCTGCTGAGGATCCAGGCTCAGCTGGAAGAAGTAACAACTTATGTTTCTGGACTAATGGCCAGCTATTAAGCTATTGTGTATTCAGACCGAGCTAGAATAGATAAGGAAATTCAAAGGAACTTTTTAGACACGCAGGAACTTTGTCATGTGTATTAGTTATAAAAAGCAGAATTTTTCTGATTAGGTTGTTCTTACTCTCCTCTGTCTCACAGCAGTGCATGCGTGTGACAAGAGATTGAGACACCCAGTTTATTCCTTTGATCAAAAGAATAAACCTGTGTTCTTTTCAGTTGCCTTGTGTTCAGAGTCTCATTGGGATTTATTAGGATTCTGAGCTAAAAACCTTACACTACTATAAGCTTACAGTAAGTATATATATCCAAATAAAGAATGGCACAAAGCTAACAACAACAACAAAATAAATTATTTTGACTCTAAAGCTCTAATCATCGACAGCAGAAATATACTCCTGTGGATGTACAGCTCTATTTGTTTTAGCATACTTAACAGGATTGGCCTTGTGACCTTCTATCTCTCTCATAGGATTTGGGAAAGACTATCACCCCACATAAATTACTTCTGTGTGCCATCAGTTGGTCACATTCCATTGGTGGAGAAGCACTGAATTACCACATCTCTACAGCAGATAAGAGTCAAAATAACAAATTCTAGTTGAGACATTTCATCATTAAATTGACTTTTGTAAACCCTTTGTACACCTTAGCCACCTCAACAACTGCATTTTAAATATTGATACAGTTTACATCACATTAATATTTATTTATTCTTTTGTATAGAAATTGACTCACCTGTCTCATGTTGAATGCAGTATTTTATAATTGTACCCTATTCTTTTTCCACAAGCATGAAATCTGTCCATTTTCCTATCTCAGGGCCAACATACATTTTATCAAGTGAATGCAGAAGTTAATACAGTTGTTAAGACTTCTGGTTTGCCAACGCGGCCGCCATGGACGTCGGGAAGGCAAGCTCCGTCTTCCGCGTCCAGTTTCGCATTGCTGGGGGACCCTGGAAAGGGTCAAAAGTCACCCTGTAGGGGTGACCAGCAAGGAGGGGATCCCCGCTTGATCGCAGAAGAGCGGTAGCCCTTCCTCTTGATCAGGGGCAGCCCTCCAAACCGGCGGACGAAAGACCGGCCATAGCAGACAGCCGAAGTCATACTTACCACCAGGCAACTATAAAGCAGCGCGGATGAGACTGGGTGAGATCTACCTCTCTCTCTTATTCTATCTATTTTTTTATCTGCAAAAGCTGCTTAAAGTACTTTCCCCCCTGTGGAGAGGGAAGTTAGATTTTACCCCTCCCTCCAGAAACAACGGCAACTGACTATCCAGAGGAGTTTAAAAACATTGCGAGAATAATCTGATCCTAATTGGAATTTTACTTTTTCAAGTTTGTGGACTAAAAGAATTTCTATCGTTACTGAAGATCTGGGTGTTTACTTATAAAAAAGAAGCAAAATTGAAAAGATTATAAGAATTTGGAACTTAAAAGAAAAATTTTAAATGGTAGAGGCGACATCTTGTGGCTAAACCTGACATTACAACTTGTTATTTCTTAAAAGAGACTTGGCCAGCAGCCCAGACAATTGATAAGAGCTATATAACCTTGAGAAGCCCAGGTGTGTTCCATACTCAGTGACAAATTTTTTTTTTTCTGTATTCTCTGATTGCAAAGCTTTTAACCTAATACACTACAAAGAGAATATGGATGAAGGCCAGGAACAGATTCTTTTTATGTTGAAAGGAATTCATCAAATTATTCTAACAGCTACTGATGAAATAAGAGGTTACAGAAAAGAACAAGATGTCAGCCCAGAGATACGAACTCGAACTTTGATTACAACTAAAAAATGAACTACACAGAATACAACAGAAAAAGTAGAACAATTAAATATTATGACAGAAGACTCAATTGATCAACAAATACAGTCAATGGAAAATCCAGAAAAGGGACTGACAATATGGAAAAGGGAAAAGACTTTCTACATAAATCAGAAAAAAACTGAGGATCAAGAAGAAGAACAGACTGAAGAGAAGATAAACAATTCAGGACAACTACGTCGAGATGGAAAAATAGAGAGATGATTTGTTAGTCCTCTCAAAAAAATGGCGACCGGATAGTTTTTTCTACGTCAAACAATATACATAATAATAAAGGGAGATTTATTTGATGATTCAAAAGCACGGACATGGAAGGCGATTTGGCAAAGAAAGAAAGCTAGAATAAGACTGAAGAAAATTGGGGTTTTGACTTACTAGTGAGAATTAGAATATACTCAAATAGATAAAATGTGTACTTTGAATACTAGATATTGTAATGAGTGGAGATAAAGAAAACTTTGGTCATTTAAAACTTGGAAGTATAAATATTAACAGTTAAATCTGAATGTTGATTTGCTTATAAAGGTTAAATGTAAAGGTAATTAAGATAGATATAAGCTAAAAATTTATCGATGAATGTAATAAATATGTTTTTATTTAGTGGCAATAATAAAAATTATTAGCTTAAATATGAGATAGTAGATATTAAGAGAAAAAAGAGAGGAAGTATTACATGTTGAAATAACAGAAATTTTGATTACTAAATTTAAGATATTTGGAAATTACTAAAAAATAAGAATATTATATTGTATTATTGATTAGTTGATGTAAGATGGTGAGAACTCAAATAGATAAGACGTGTATCCTGAACATTAGATCCTGTGATGAATTGTGATAAAGGGAATTGGGGTTATTTAAAACTTGGAAATTATAAATATTAAACGTTAAATTTAAACATTAATGGGAAACTAAAAATTGGGAAAAACTAATCACGACAGTGATTGTCGAAAAAGATTGAATGTTAAAACAACTAAGATATGTATAAACAAAAATTATTGATAAATGTAAGAAAGTTACTTTTATTTAAGCGATATAAACAAGAATTGTATTAATTTAAATATGAGACAGTATATACTAAGGGGGAAAGAGAGGAATTATTTAATGTAATAGTTTGAGATCTGTACTAAAGATATTTGTATGTTATTGAATTATTGATCAACTCAGCCGCCACATTGCTTTTCAAATATTTAAATGTAAAATTAGAAAATTAATAAAAATTGTTCAAAAAAAAAGAAGTTAATACAGTTGTTAAAACTGCCACAAGAAATAGTTTGAAATAGTATAAAATGTATATATACATATTACTTATTAGCAAAAAGATTACTTACCCAAATCATGACAAAGTCCAGCAATCTGAACACAGAGAACATCCCTTTGATCAATATTCAGTTCTGGTTGTCGTTCTTGCAACGCCTGCACCAAACGGCCTGCGAGATGACTAACACTTTTCCAAAAAGGAAAGAAATTATCTTTTCTGTGGCTTGAATTTAAGATTTATAAATAAAATGGGAATTTAAGTTACAAATGTAATGCAATTATGAACTGCTATAAGGCTTATTTAAATTCTGAATTTCAATATTATAAGATAGTAGAGAATATTTCATATTAAAAGATCTTTGTTTTGAACAATTAAATCTTCCTCATGCATCCACTTAATGTCAAACAAGGAAGATTTTTTTTTAAAGGAAGAAAACAATATCTGCGTATTCTTGCCTGTATTTTATATACACTATGTAGAGGCAAGTTTTCTTTGGCTCAAGCAGAAATTAAGAAACGTTTTCCTCTCTGTTTATTTTTTGCATGGAGCATGGAAACCCTACAATACAGAAATTCTCTCTACACAAATCCCAGTTTTATTAATGGTATTCAACATAATAAACTGCATTATATTCAAGATACTAGCTATATAAGTCAAGTAGTCTTTCTTTTCAACTACAATTATTACTGGTGATTCCCAAGGTTTATGAAAAAATACTATGTATTGTAAATTTTAAGTATAGTTAAATATGCAGCATCATAAAGCAAAATTTAAATATAAAAATTTCTATCAATGGAAAACATATAGCAGGAACTGGTTGTTTTAAAAACTTCAGTAGAATCTTTTTACTTATACAAAGGCAATTCCTATGTATAAACAAGTAAACAGTACTCCTTACCCAAGAGAATGTTCAAAGCGATTGTGTGATGCTCCTGGGAAAACATAATAAGTGCCACCCAACTGTTTAATATATCGTAGACGCTGAAATTGAGGTGTGTCAATAATGCAAACAAGAAGAGGATGCATTTCAATATGACCATGGATTGGATCATTAAATACCTGGAAAAAGCAAAACAAAAATTTAAAATATCCGTTAATCAATGATGAATGTTTCAATGAAGAATAAACATTGCCTTTTTCTAATTCTAAAAAATTAAGATAAACACAGGATAATTAAAAGCCCCTGACTAACAAGTAACAAGTAGCCCAAATGAAAATCAACTGGGACAAATTCATCACCCATATAAAACAAAAGTTGAAAAATCTGGAGTAATGATTTTAATACTTGTGTGGAAAATGAAAATATTGGCTATTGTTCTTCTATGCAAGGTTTAGGCCCAGGTAAACTAAATCAGGCCTCATGGAAAAAGTATTGAATCAAAGTTTGTGCTATGCTTAATTTTGCAGTTTGCAACTGTACTTTACTTAATATGATTTTGCTAAGCTTGCTTGTTTCAAATATATTTAGAACATAAGGACTGGAACAGTAAGATATAGGGAACTGAAAGTAGCTGATGGATGCAGGTTCAAATGTACACGAGTATGTGGAAAGTTATGTTCAGCAGAGGGTCAGAAGGAAGTCAGAAGGAAGTCAGCAGAAAATCAGCAGAAAGTATAAGATTGCTGACCATCTGTCTACAGTCTTAGGACGGGAAAGGGTATAAAGAGTTGAGATTGGACCTGATTGTTTTGCCATTGGCCTATCGCAGTCCTTATTGGAATTGCTATGTCATTGGACCTCATTGCAATGAGTTTTTTACGTAAGTGATGTTGTGTTATTATGTTTGCTATGTTCCAAATTATTAGCAAAATAAACCTCTGAATCTTAAAGTAAGAATTATTGTTTTGTGTTGCTGTCTCTTGTCTTTTTCATTGGGTTTTTCCATGACACTCGCTATTATCTTTCTTCCGCCATTCTACTATAGATGGCTACTCTCTTACCATCTTGAAGAGATTTGGGGTAGAAAATAAAGCCTGTAGATAAAGGAGGATTTTTTTTAAAGTTATCTGTTTTAAGAATATTATGAAAATTCTTATGGAAGGGATGGACCTCGGTGTTTTGTTTTTTTTTAAAAAAGCAGGGAATTTTAACTTTCCAGATTTTCAGTTTTATCATTGGGGTAATCTAAACTTCCATTTCATCACAGAATTTAAGTAATTTAAAAAATAATATAGGCATACTTAGAAAGTTAATATTTGTCCCCCTTCATATTCTGGAAAGATCTTGGTTCTGCTTTTACTCAAATATCTGTTGCCCCCCTTTCTTGCATTAGATGTTATAAGACATATTTGGATGCTACTGGGAAGGAAGCTTAAATCAGATCTTGATTATCGGGAGAAATTGACACTTTAACATAACTCCAGTTTGAGAACTACAGGTAATAAGTGATTATTTTCCAGCAATAATCTTCCCTGTGTTCAAAGTTTCATATATGATTAAATAACTGATCTTCTGCTTAACTTTGTTCTGGTTATGTGGGATTTTTTGCTTTATTATAACGATTTATTATGTGCTATCAGGTCAATGCCGACTTTTAGTGACCATATATTTTTTTCAAAGCCACTGTCGTCAACATAGTCTTTTAATTCTTCCAATGGTAAAGCCTTGCTGTTGGTCAACTTCCTTTCCTCTTTACTTCCATCCTTCCCAGCACTGTAGAGTTTTCCAGAGAGTTAGGTCTTCCCATAATGTGTCTGAAGGATGACTTCAGTCTGATCATTTGTGTCTCAAATGAGTACTCTGAGTTGATTTGTTTGATGATCCATTTGTAAGATTACCATGTATAAAGGAGGAGGTTATAAGTTTTCCAAGCAAAAATATCAAATTAATGAAATAACTACTTGTTATTCTAGTTGTTAGAATACACTAAATTAAATGTTCAAGGACACACAGAGGCATGGAAGAAATTAGCATATCCAGTTGATGAACATCAGTGAAAGACAACTTCAGCATCTGTTGGCTATTATTTTTATCATTTTAAGATTATAGTTAATTTAACAGAAAGTATAATTTTTTGCTGGATATCTATATATCCTTTCAGAAAGAATGTAATGTAATATCAGCTAAACATTGGAGATGCATAATTCAAAATACAACATTGGTTCATGCAATCCTTTTCCATTGAAAGGGCTGAAAGGATTAGCTGGTAACATCACCATTGCCCAGTTGGGGGCTCCTTTCATGTCCCCATTAATGTGCCCACCAAAATGGTACCTATCTATTTGTGATTGCTCGCTTTCGAACAACTAGGTCACACAACAGCATTCGGGTCTCAAACTCAGACTATACATCAACCCAGAGTCCTAATCATCAAGATCCTATGATTCATATGATATGGCCTTCTGTTATAGAGACTTCATTTTAAACAACTGTTATTTCACACATTTTGTTTCAAAGTTGAATTTTATAGATACTAACATTCTTTTGAATTATATAACAATGATTTGGAAATTAATGGGCAGACAGAAAACAGACCAGGTGGTTTTACAATTGTAAAACAACACCTAAACAAACATATAAAAATGAAAGCATCTCTATTCTCTACCACTGATGCAATATCTAAAGACTTCTGTTATATTCTAATAAGCATTTTATAACCAGGTTAAGTATTAAAATTATATAATATTACAGCAAGACTAATTTTGTTTGGTATCGTCCTTTTTCAACATACATAATAAATAAGAAATTGTTCTCTCACTTTTGTTATATCAGTTTGACTTTGAGCCAGTTGGCGCACACAAATTAGCAGCTTCTCTTTCACTCCTACAGCTCTGAAAATAAAACATATAATGTAACTTAAACAATTATTCGATATTTTATTTAGTAATGAACTTAGTAGCAGTTAATTTAGCTTCCATATTAAGACAAGAATTTTTACAGAAATTTTTAGTAAAATGTCTTCTGGCAGAAAGTGATGGTGATAAATCACTGATTTTTAAAGGATAACTTCATGAACAAAAAATACATTTATTCTTATTTTAAATAAAATAAAATAGATTTAAATATTTTATTTAAATAAAATAAAAATAGATTTACATTTCCACATTAACGATTAATGAGAACATATACAAATATTTCATTTTCTCATTTCACCCGGAGCAATGTTCTGCAGATTTTAGCTATAAAATGGCATGCATACTATATCTTTATTTACATCCTGCAAGCAAAGCAGTATCCATTATTAGGATACGTTATAGTAGTGTTAATTCAAGGATACAGGGCACCCCTAAACCACAATGACAAAAGCAATAATCCTTTGGCAGAAGTCAAAAGCTTCTTAGTGTGACTTAGGGCTGCAAAGACCTGCACAACTTTGATTAGGGCCACAGTTCTTATCAAAAAGGATACAGATAAAAGAAATAAGGAAGGTTACAAGGATCAAGTGAAACAGACAACAGGGTACAGGAAACAGAAACAGGACATAAAGTTAGAAAATAAAGAAAGGAACATAGTAAGAACATAAATAGCATTAAAAGGACAAAACAATATAAGACAATAAGATAAAATATATAGTAAGATAAATTCTTATTAAAAGTAAGACATTACTAACAATAAAAGATAACACAATGCTATATCATCAGGGAAAATCTTTATTTTGTTATTCACTAAGAAAAGTTGCTTATTGTATATTTTTATTATAATAAAAACATTTGCTAGTATACTGTTGAGTTTGTGTTATCCTTGAAATTATGACAGCATGTAACAGAGAAACCTGTCACAATGTAGACAGTGGTATTCCATGTTTGTTATTTTGGATAAATGATTTGTGAACTAGCTGTCTATCAACACAATGGAAAGACAAACTTATATCATTGTGTGTGGGCAGGGTATAAGCAAAGTTTAAAAACAGGTTTTAAAATGTTTTGGTATGTATTATGTTTTCATTTTATTTTGTTTTTGTTTTTGCTTGTATTTTTGCTTTTTTATATCTTCCGTTTTTTTTGTTTACCAAGGCAATATAAAAAATCTTCCTAAAATCAGCTTCTGAAAACTAAAGTCACTTCAGTATATTATACTATTCAGGCAAACAATAATAATGCAAAACCAAAGAGCTCTGCAGATGCAGAAGACATACAATTCTTATAATTCTTTCAATTTGAATAAATAAAAAAGTTGCTTACCGAATTCCCATTTTTTCAAGATGAGATTCAGTGAGATATGGCACAGTTGAACCGGTTATTTTATGTTCTAGGGAGTTAAATACATACACTTTAATATTTCTTTCTGAAATTATCATTTTGAAATTATTTGGGAGGTTACAGGACTACAATTAATGAATATACATTAATAACCCTGAAATATGTACAGTATTGCTTTGATTCATGCAATCATACATTCTTCAGAGAAGCCATGAAAATATAAAGTATGAAGAGGCTACTAATCCATGTTAATAGTGTCTTGAGAGCCAGGCAACATAAATATTTAATAAATTATTAGAATTAAAGGCACAGATATCCTGTAAATTAATTCTTCATGTTATTCTAACAGAGTGATTCTTCTTGTTCCATAAATATAGGAAAAGCTGAATATTGCATTTACCCTAGAATAAATTAGCATAACCAGAGGACCTCCAATACACATTGCAAAACTTCCTTGTGGATACAGGAAGGAAGTTACATAGTAAAGAATATGGTCTTACCAGTGCCCTGAAGATTTGCTACTTGCAAAGTAGTTTGATCTTGCCTACTTTAATTTCTTTCTTCTGAAATGTTGACTTGCCAGTTATTAAGTATTAGGATATTTTACTACAGCATTACTGTCAGACCTGCCACAAATTTAAACCTCTAAATACAAATGATCCTTGGCTCCATTTGTTGAAAAAGATATAATTTTATTAGAAGTCAAGTGCACTACAGTAGTGCATAGCCAGAACTGTGAATCGGGCACTAAAATCTCTAAGTTCAACTTTTCCCTCCCTTAGCTGCCTCCCATTGCCCACCCCTGTGTGACCAGTAAGGTTCAGGCAGGATGTTTTCGTAATGGTCAATCCAAGCACTAGAAGGTATGCAGCTGGTATGCCAGGTGACCTTGAAGCAGAATCTCAAAGAGATACAGCATTCACTTTTGTTTTGCCCCTTGCCTTCCCCACCTCCCCATAGTACATGGCAGTCTCCTATTGTATTTTAGCAAAGGACAAGCAAGCATTAAGGTGGCAGCTGACAATTACAGTTTTATTAAGATTCTGAAACCATGTTATCATTTTGTTTCTTAAGATATTGTTGGCCTTCTTACTTTTCACAAGCCTTAAAGATAGCTTACCCAAGGAAATAAGATAAGGTATGCATTCACAGGATAGCTTCACTTTAGATAAATGTATTCTCAGTAAAGTTAGAGGCCCTAGTAAGGACAGGTGATTGAATAAGGGAGTGATATTTTATAGGAGGGTTGATTATAAGGTGTATAATGTGTGCTGAATGGATGAGGGGGGCTCTGCAGTTATCACTCTTGAAAAATAAAGTACTTAATTTCATGCCTGTTGTTTCTTTGATCTCAATTCATGACAAAATTGTTAAGGAATAAAATGCCAACACAATTTAGCCTAGCTGTCTCCCATCCCACACTTGACCCTGGTTAGTTTCCAACTCGGCAAGCCACCATCTGCAAAATCTCTATTGTATTGCCCAGTGTAATTATTTTTATAGCCAAACTCATAAAAATTATACTTAAAATCCTACAGATTGGTCAGAAGTTAATATAATTATCATCATAATACATTTTAGAAAAACTTCAGTTTAAAATGTGATAAATTTGAACACTGACAGAGCAAGCCACTAGAATATAAACTGACAGCAAACCGCACTCCTTACTAGCACTGTAGTTATCTAGTTTGGGTAATGAAATGTCTGCAAGAAAACAAGCAAGTTCAGAAAGCACCAAGGATGCCTCAGATAAATTTGAATTATATTTTCTAGCAATTCATTTCTAGAATCACATTTTTACAGATATCACAGATATAATAAGTAAAGATTGCCTGTATGTAAGCAAAACTGGACATCAGTTTTAAACTTAATATATCACCTGTGGCTTGTAGGATTAGGCTACAAAAAATCACTAATAGCTCAAACTCACCCAGTGAAGAACCTCATAGCAAACAGAGTTCAACTTAAGTTCCAACCGCCTAATCCACTTACCTAAAAGCTCTTTATACT